GAGAGACTCCTGGGCACGGTGTACGGCGCGATAAAGATCGCCGGTCCCGCGAAGTTCAAAGTGGGCGACGCGGTACGCGTGAGCAAGTACAAGACGATCTTCGAGAAGGGCTACACGCCGAATTGGACCACGGAGGTGTTTCGAATCGTCAGAGTGCAGAGGACTAATCCCGTGACGTATCTCTTGGAGGATTACCGCGGCGAACCGGTAGCCGGAGGATTCTACGAACACGAGTTGCTTCGCGTCGCTAATTCCGACGTGTATCTGGTTGAAAAGGTGTTGCGCAAGAAGGGAGACAGGGTGTACGTCAAGTGGCTGGGATTCGACGGATCGCACAATTCGTGGATAAATAAACGGGATGTCGTGTGAATTATAATAATTTTCATTCGTATAACATATATATCAAAATATGTATATTTCAAAAATAAATATACCATTATATCACGATATCGGTGTAGTTCTTTATTCCTTTCAATAAGGCACACTAATGACGACAAACTCTCTGTAACGTTATAGTATTACATACATGCGGGTACAACTCAATACATAAAAACTCAATACATAAAACTCAATACGTACAACCCAATACGTAAAACTCGATACGTAAAACTCAACACACACAAAACTCAATACACAAAACTCAATACGTACAACCCAATACGTACAACCCAATACGTAAAACTCAATAAACAAAACTCAATACACAAAACTCAATACGTAACACTCAATACATACAGGTACAAGTTTGAGTATACCATAAGTATAGGTACGAGAAAACTCAATACATAAAACTCAATACGTCTAGGTATAGGTACAAGTATAGGTACGAGAAAACGCAATACATAAAAACTCAATACATAAAACTCAATACGTCTAGGTATAGGTACAAGTATAGGTACGAGAAAACGCAATATAAAAAGTAAACGTATAAACTCAATATATAAAAACTTATTACGTCTACGTACGAGTATAAGTAAAACTCAGTATAAAAGTAAAAGTATAAACTCAATACATAAAACTCAATACGTCTAGGTATGAGTATAAGTATAAACTCAGTATAAAAGTAAAAGTATAAACTCAATACATAAAACTCAATACGTCTAGGTATGAGTATAAGTATAAACTCAGTATAAAAAGTAAAGATACATAAAACTCAATACGTACAGGTATAGGTGTGAGTATAAGTTGTAACCGTACTTTTAAGTGCCGGCACAACTTCGTCGCGTTTTCCAAAAATAATTCTAGTGATGCGAAAGCTCTTATTTAAGATGAACAATACTTATTGGAGCAATAGTGCGGTTCGTCAATAATTCTCGCGTGATTCGAGATTTTACAAAAGTTAACGAGTTATCTCGCTCAGCAAAGATCTTAGTCGCTATTAAAAATTCGTTGGGCGCCAGGCACGAGAGAGCGTGCCACTCTTCGCACAAATGGTTAGATAAATTGCTCGGACAAAAATGTAAAGATTACGCGGATCCTCGCGACGGACGAAATGACTAGCTCAGCCAACGGAATTGGCAGAGGGGAGTGGTTCGCGGTAAGCGGAAAAAATTATCGGAGAAAGACAGAGAGGCTGAAATAAAGGCACTAGAATTAATAATGACAATATCGAGAAATCAGTATATTTTACAGAGACTGTACAGAAGTGTTCGTAAGAAAGTACGTTACAGCGTTGACCTTCCGCGCTCTGGTATGCGGCACAATAACAATGAACCGACTATTAAATGGCCGTCGACAATAGGAAGTAAATTCGGCAATAATTCGCCGAGAAGAAATGTGCGACAAAATCTAGATCTTATTACATTAACAATGATTACTTCGTGAATAATTGAAATACACAATTTTACATAAGACGGCAACGGTTCTCAAAGGTGCGATAACGCCAGTCTCGACTTTTAAGAATTCTCAATAATTTACAATTACACACGTGACTTGGCGGCAACGAGGGCGAGCAACTACACTATTATACATTCTCAAATTAGAGCGTCTGAGCGGAGGGCACGTATTCACGACAACAATGACTCGAAACGCCTAGAGGCGACCGATCCGGAATCGGCAACGAAAATTCGGAGTAACGCCTAACGTGTGCTCCGCTCGAGACGCGTATCACGTACCGCGATCGGTGGTTTTACAGAATTATTAGATGACGCCCGCCTCACCACACAACGATCCCTCGTCGCTCCTGTTCCGGAAGACCTCTCTATCTCTTCGTCTCGGCAACGGCAAATTCTCGGCTAGGCTTCGAGTGCTTCGGAGATCCTGCGTCCTCCTTACAAATTGCTCACCGCACAAGTGATGATCGGGAGCATTCGCGGATCCACGCAGGCCGCTAGACCCTCTCTTATCGGGCCGCTCCTTGCGCTAATTGGTCTATTGTAGTCGCGCAACCCCGCGACCAATTACAGTGCGTCCTGCGGGTTGCGTATCCTTTGAGCGTTCGGCGCGCTTTTCCAAATTAGCTGGCCGAGGCTTTCCGTCTTTATCAGCGGTCTTCTCTCGCTCTCCTCAGAGGTGGAGGCGGCTGCCAATTCTCTGGCCGTGCTGAGACGGTCCCTTATTACGTCTCTCTCCGAGTCGTCTGCAATAAAGGTGCGACAATCACCAACTAATATCATAATTATCAAAGGTAACCAAAACAATACGACCTGCGTGTACCGCGCTCCTCGAGGATACGATCGGGATCTCCCTCGGTGGTTTCTTGCTTCCTCGGCGTCGTCTTCTTTCTTCCTTCCGTGAGTGAGGCGGCAACATTACACAGTTTTAAACAACCACCGCTCACGCTCTAAAGTGACTAATAATTGTTCTTTAAAAATCTGCAAAATTACTAAATATCTTATATAAAAGAATATACAAAACGAAACAGAAATACAAATTTGGCACGCTCGCATGTGTCCTCGCCCTCCGAGCTTAGAGGACACAGGATCTCCGTGCCGGTGCACTTACGAGTGACGGACACAAAGTGTCACGTCACAAAGTATAAACTCAGTATAAAAAGTAAACGTATAAAATACATAAAACTCAATACGTAAAACTCGATACATAAAAGTCTAAGTATAAGTATGGGTATGAGTATAAGTACAAGCATAAACTCACTACGTCTAAGTACGAGTATAGGTATGAGTATAGGTACGAGTATAGGTATAAACTGAGTATGAAAAGTAAACGTATAAAATACGTAAAAGTCTAAGTACAGGTAAACTAACACGCGAGCTACACTATCCGGTAATGCCCCCACAGTAGCGTGTTCGTCGAGTCCGGTACGACGTACCGTTTGTCATCGTACAGACTCAGAGCGATCTTCTTCTCAGACACCGTGTACACCCGGTGTAACTTGGATCGTATGCACGCCTGCCTGCGCGTCATTTCGATGTCCTCCTTCAGGCACCGGGTAATCCTCGAACGATATCGTCCGCGCTACGACGCTGCTCTTCACTCCCTTCGCCTTCTTCGTGTCCCTCTTTCCGTCGATGCGCAGCGCGTACATCTTCGCTCTGAGTCCGACGAACTCAGTCATGATGGCACCGTTGTTCTCGTCCTTCATGAGACCAGGCACCTTCTTGTTCGCGAGAGGCATACCGTACGCGATGTTCGCGGGATAGTCGCTCGTGTCGAATCTGTCTATGTCGCGTTTCATTGTTTCGTACACGTCGTCGCACTCTATATGGTAGATCAGACTGTCCGTGTCGGTGTACATGATCTCGCACCTATCGCGAAACAGCGGCGTCATGTAGTCGTGGTGAAACTCGTACAGGCACGTTTTCGAAATGTCCAGGATGCACATACCCACGTAGATAGGCTTGTCGAATTTCACCTCGAGTTTACGCAATTCGACCGCTATCAGGTTCTCCGCGAAGACACTGCGGCTGTGGAAATTAGGTTTCGCGATCAACGCCTCAGCGCCGCATCGTCCTTCCCACGCCGTCACCAGTTTAACGTCGACGCGTTCGCGCACGTTCTCCATCGTCTTGCCGAACACCGCGTTGTTCATCAGTTTGTACA